TGCTTATTGAGGCTTGGGGAAAAGTGTTAATCAAAAATTTAATCTACCATATAATTTCTCAATTTGATTAGCTGTTTGTGCTAATCAGCTGCAGAAGAGGAATGTGAAAGACAAGCAGCCTCTGTCTTCAGCTCTGGCCTGGCAGCGCGTATTTTCTGTTTCCCCTTTCCTTTTAATCCGTTCAGATTGTAAGAAAACAAGAGTATCACTGTGGGTGTTGTATTGATACACAGCTAGGATTATATGCACATTATGAAAATGTCTCGTATTTAGAAATACAGATATTTGTGTAGTATTTTTTTCCTTTTACCAATGATAACATAGGATACTTTAATTTTTTTTTAACCTGGGATGTATCAGATATTATTTAATTACTGTCATCAAACAATCAGTTGTGTGTGTAACAGTAGAATAGAGCCTCCTATATATTTTCCCACTTGAAACTTGACCGGAAGACATTGACTGTTACTGTTTTATGTTGTACTTATTGAAGAACTTAAAAAAGCAACATTTTAGATCATTCTGTTATTTAACTTTTCCTGATGTCACTGGCAGATCCTGTTGGTTCATATCTAGTACTTACCTGGATTGGAGAGGGTAGATGTATTGCAATGAAAGTAGTATTATTCCAGATGAATAAGCCACCAGTCATTCTGGCATTCATTATATGCTCTTAATTATGTCATTGGTTTATTTTTAAGTGAGAGAAACAAAATCTCTGTGTACTCTGTAAGTTAAAGAATTGAGAGGATTTGACAATTGAGCTGAGAGTCTGAGACGTCTCTTCTCTGAGTTAGTCCAAGGAGTATGAAGGTAGGCTTAGATTTCATAAGGTTTTCAAATACGATGCTTCTATTATTAGTGAGATTCAAAACTCAAATCCTTTCCCTTTTTGTTCGAAGTCTCTTCTGCAAAATTTCTGTGATTTCTTCTAGCACTAGGAGTAGAAATTGTCTGATTCTCATTTAGCCCTGAACACCCCTATTCCTATTCAGGAGGATGGAGAAAGGAGTATAAAATAATGTGCAAATATTACTAAAAAAAGGTCAATTATTTCTGCAGACTAATGATTTTAATGTAAGTACACATAGTGCAGAATTAGCAACTCTTTGTCAGTGAACTGCAGTGATGTACAAGAATTTGGAGCATGTCAGAAGAGGATGTAAATGCAACTGCAGGCAATCACGTTTGCACTAGAAGTTTGAGGAAGGAGGCAGGTAACCGTCTGCAAATTGTGGCAGGATTGCAGAGCTAATATTCTTTCTTTTACAGAAAAACAAAAAAGGGTAGTCATTAATAAATCAGTTTTATTCCTCACATGGAAGGAAGCAGCTCTATGTGTGCCTCTAACCAGTTTGGGCTCCTGGCAGAGAAGGGAGTTAGTCCAGCAGTTCTTCTGGGGTTGTAAATTGAAGTCAGAGGGAGTGTGACAGTCCACACCAGGGGCAGATGTGCCACCTGTATGCTTGCTAGGCCCATGCTATGCATCATCTCTAGCACGGCTGCAGTGTGTTTCTGCTTAGCTTGCAAGATCTGACAAAGATCACATCCCAAGGTGGGAGGTTTACTGGCATAAATAATATTGTCTGTAAGCTCAGTTTGCTGATTCAGCATCTCAGATGCGAATAGTTTACAGGGAGAGGACTTCTAAATGAGAGGACGGTGCATTTTCAAGGGACATGGGTATACTGGGCTCTGGAGGAGGTGGGAGGTGTAAGGCTGGGGACAACCTGCCAGAATACAAGTTTCCCCATGTGATGTTGGAGGAGTGCAGAGATTCTGGAAGTCATCTGTTTCTCATAGCTTCCAGATGTTTGCGCATCTTTTTCTATGGACCTGAGTCTTAGTTGGAGAGAAGTGAGAATGGGACCTTGAAGCAGCTAACAGACAACTGGAGCAGAATTTATTTTTTTCCATCGCATGTTAAATATGCTAGTGCAATGTGTGTTTCTCCCTGTCAGGACTCACGCTCTTAAAAATCCTTGCTGGGAAGGCTGCATGTGCATGAAAGCAAGCTTTGCAAAATGCCTCTAGAGCCCTGCTCTGTCCAGCTGGACCATCCCCGTGCAAATGTCAAAGGCTCTCACTGCGCCAGAGCTGCGTGCTCGGCAGAGTCGGCACAACAGGGTTAAATTCCTTTAGCTACAACGCTGCTGTAATGCAGACAGTTCACTGTCAATTAGCGCCCCTTGCAGCGTTTGGCCTTCTTTGTCCTGAAATAATTGCTGTTATCATAGATGCTTTATTGCTTTCATTATGGTTAACATTTAAATACCAATGAAATAATATATTAGTAAGTCATCTGTGCAGTAGCTATCTGCTGGAGTTAATCCCTGAAATTTGTGTTTAAGGAGTATGTTAATTCAGCACTGAGTTGGGATTCTTTGCGGGGGAGGCTGTATATTTGTTGATGAATTACGGGAAACCTTTGTTTATTGGGGGCAAACCCGGGCCCTTCTCATCTGGTATTTTGTGAGTAGCAGTACTGGGTGTGACTGGAATAATGCTTTGTCTATTAAACAGAAATATTTTCCAAAACCTAAAAATATATTTGAATTGCCAAATGAGACGGTGAACGCTGACCTTTCAGCATCCGGATGAAGAATTGCACTGGGAGAGAGGGATACGTCCTGTGCCCGCAGTTACCAGCGCTTGCTGTCACTTTCTATTCTGTCTGAATCCAATCCCTGTCCTTTGGAAATCAATAGAAAGTCTCCCTTGAATTCTTATGGCTTCTTTTGAATGCTGTAGTGCCCTACGTGACCTATTCAGCCATCAGTTATGGATGTGATTTAATTTTTGTGAGCTGACTTTACATGGGACTGTTATTTATCAATGTGTACTTAAAAACTTATGACCAGCTGCACGGTTCATTTTTATGGAATAGGCAACGGAGGCAGAGAAGGAATTGTATTTTTATGTTTACAGAAGAAGAGCAGGTGCAATTAGAAATTCAGTTTGAGTCCTGCTTGAACTTGTAAACATGCACACACAACCACAGATAGCAAATCAATACACACATTGAGGTGTGTGGGTCTGTGTTGGTGCGTACATGTATGCACCCTTATAAGAGGTTTTGTTCACTTTTTGCAGTTCTGTTGCATGTGCTTGGATTTGGTTGGCTGTCCACAAAAGACTTTCGCTCCTGCCTCGTTGGCTAAATTAGGTAATCAAGCAGTAATAACTGTATGAAAGAACAGTTCATTTTACACCCTGTAAGCTGGCACAGAGGGGCATTCGTGTTGTCCTTATGACATTAACAGAGCTTCAAAGACAGAGCTTTGCAGCCCCGGAGAGGTACACTGATACTCACTGGGTTCCCATCCTAGACGACCTTTCCAGCGCTGAAGCTGCAGGCAGTAAGTCGGTGGCAGTGGCGTGTAGAGGTTTTGGGGCACGGACTGCGAAATGAGGTGGCCAGTACCTGTAAGAGCTTCCCCTCAGGTTTCCTTCAGAAGTTGACAGTAGTAAATTTGCCATATACGGTATTTGAGGCTTTTCACATTGTGAAATCAAATACATTAGTCCTTAGTTTCATATATCTCTAGATTCCCAAAACTTAGCTGTGTGTTTCTTGTCTTGTTTTTGACATGATCAAGTTTTCCAAAGGGTCTGGAATCGATGCTGCACATCACGGGCCGTGATGCACTAAGGCCTCCAACCCTCATCAGATGTCTGGTGTGGGACCTGGTGCGACTTGTGGCCGCCCCGGGTCTGGCAGCAGACAGCTCCCGCAGATCCCGGCTCGGCTGGCAGACCCTGCCGCCGCCGACAGAGCTCACCTGGCGTGCTGCTTGCCGAAGGCGAGGGTAATTTGCTGCGTTGGTGCAAAGCCCAGCTTGCTGACATGGGTCTGTCAGCTCCAAGCTGGCTCCAGATTGATTTTGCGTGTATCTGGTAGAGCGCTAGGCTGAAATCCCAGCTAGGCTCGCGGGCAAGTATGCTGCTTCCCGCGCGAGAGCTGGCTTGCACGCGCCTGCCCTGAGCGTGCCTGCCCCGCGCAGTGCCGCGTAGGCTTCTTCCTAGCTGCCAGTAAGGCGATCTTACTACGGTATCATCTAACGTAGCTTTAACCTGCTGCTGCTGTAGGTGGTGGTGCCTCGCCGGACCAGTTCCCGTGACAAGCCGGGCCGCTGCCTTTGCAGTGCTGGAGCCCCCGAACGTGGCAGTGGCCCGGTTGGAGCACTTCGCGTTTCCCGTGCCGTCTGGACAAACTTCACAGCTTCTAATTTGCTAGAGAGTCAGGGGTATAGTTAGGAGCTACGTACATGAGAGCGGTGCACGCGGTTGATGATGATCTAGTCGGTTCATTTACCAAAAGAAGCGGTAAGGGGGTCCCGACCAGCAGCTCAGATCGTTTTCTCTTTCAGCTCTGCTTTGCTAGAGCAGTTGCAATCCTTCCCCGCCTGGGGCACGAAATGTTTTATTATGGGCCGTTCCACTAGCCATATATTTTTTCATCAGGAAACCAGGCAAACAGGTCCCATCCATCCGTGCGTTTTCCAGAGGGCAATCTGAGCTGTCCGTCCTTGTAAGCCGGCTGTGTTAACAAGCCTGTGAGAGGCAACAGCTCCCTTTTTGTGGACAAGTGAACAGGTTAAGTCCAAGGCTTTGAAGTTGTGCTGGATAAGTTTGATGTTCCTCCGGTCAAGTTGCAGCGGTTTTTCAGACAAAGTGGTAGGTTAGCCAATGAAGCCTGAACCCGTTCCCTTAGCAGATAAAAACTCATCTCCCATACTTCTCGCTACTCGGAGCAGGACATGGGAAGTGGTAATCTTCTTCCATTTGTATGCAGTTATTGGCTATTTTGCCCTAAAAATATCTTTCTTGACATGTCACAAATTGTTTTGGAGGTGTTTGTCAGCATGCCTTATTGTTTGCAGCCAGGCAGATTTATTACCAAGAGCTGAAGCAGCTTGTTTCTGTAAATAGTGTTGGCGAAGACATGTAAATAATTGATCAGTCTGTTATTCTCTTCTCTTTTTTTCCCATCCTAACAGTACTCTCAACAATAACAACATCACCCGCATTCCTGTTACCAGTTTCAATCACATGCCGAAGATCAGGACTCTGTAAGTAACGTCTTTGAAAATAACAACAACGGTGTGAGCTAACTCTTTGAATATTTGGCTTTTTGTAGCAGTTTTGTTTCAGTCTCTTCCCAGTTTAAACTGTTTGGTGGAAGATGACGACTCAACAAGCCTGAGGCTGAGGGCCAGGGTGGTGGGGCTGCCCAGGGCGGCTGGGCCGGGGCCCCGGGGCAGGGGAGGCCCTGGCGTGGGCAGGGGCCGCAAGGGCTCCCGGCACCCCCAGGCCCTGCACTGATTCATCCCAGCGTTACCCAGGTTATAGGTAAGATCCAGTTTTACCAAGCTTTTGATTTTTATGAAACTGGCACTTTTCTCCTGTGGGAAATTCTGTAATGTCAGAATTTGTTCCAAACTAGAATATTGCCAGAGTTGCAAAAAAACACTTGGATGGATCAAATTATTTAAGTTTCCAATACATTATGTTTAAATCCTATTTTTTCTTTTTTCAAATTCAAAATAATTTCTGAAAGAAGAAATTGTTTTGAAAGAAAAAAAAGAAAGTTTCTTTTCACTTCCTTTCCAAAACAAAACCTCACTAATTCTGACGCATTTTCCATAAAATCTTCTCTTACCTCAAACCCTTTTTTGTTTCTACAGCTGGATATTATTCTATTGGAAAAGTTCTGACCAGCTTTAGTAGAGCAAAATACAAAGACATTGAAATTAGACTGTATACATTTGTGGAATTTAGCGATAGCCCACCCAAAACATTTTCTTTAAATAAAATATTCCTTTAAATTCCTTTAGGGAATATATAGCTTCAGGAAAAGTTATGTTTAAAGAAAGCTTCTTTGGTTTTACTCCAAAATGTAAAACAAACCAAGATGTGTTTAGTCCTAACAACAAAGAAAGGGCAGTAGTAGCCAGGCTGAAAAATTTTCAGGCTACTCAAAAAAAAAAAAAAAAAGCGTGTCAGGGAGGCTACGTATGTATTTGTAAAATTCTTCTAGGGAAGTTAACTGAACTGAAGAAAAATGGCTCTTGCTCGTGTCAATCAGTGTGAGATAACCTCTGATTTACATTGACTTCCTTCCTGAAAGGATGACATTAACAGATGTTAGTGTAAGTAATTAAATGGAAAGCGCGCGTTTGTCTTTTGGACGAGAAGGGATCAAGGCGATAGGGGTAGGGTTACGGCTCCTGCAGCTTGGCCTCGCCTCCCTCTACCGCAGCCGGCCGGAAAATTTGCCTGCCTGTTTCGGATCGGTCTTGTCTGGTACCAGGGCTCGATGCCTTCTGCCGTTTTCCTTTTAGTTTAATTTCGGAGATGGCTTTGTATATAGCTCCCTGGAGACTTGCACTGACTAATCCCCCTCTGCTGTAATTAAGGGAAAAAAAAAAAAAAGGGGGGAAGGAAGTCATAAATAGGATTTATAAAGGGAAGCTTTTATATTGAATTCTGAGAGCCACATTTTATAGAACATGAATGCTGACCCACTCTAAAAGGATTTGCTGGAAATTTAATTTAGGGTCTGTGGCTAAAAGGGCACCTTTAAAAAACTGGCATTTGTATTCATTCACCTTATGTTTTCTAAAGGAGGTTTCATCAGTATCGAGTGGGATGTTTCAGTCTCCAAAGACTGCCAAATAACATGCAGTACCCTTCGAAGCAGTTCAATATAGAGGTTAAAAAACTTAGACAGGCCGGCGGAAATATAGTCCAACGGTTTAGTTTTCTGCTTCCCTCCATCTGTTTCATCAGAGGCATAAAAGTCATCAAAATAGCAATTAATATAAGGTAAACACAGGAAGCAAATAGTATTTCTTATTTTTTTGTGCTGCTCCTTCTTTGTTAAAATTCTTCCTCTATCCCCAAGTCATCCCATCACTTCTCACAATTAATATTTTATTAATGGTAATTATTAATTATTCATAAAGCAACATTACATAGGTAGGAACATATTCAATACTTTTTGAATGTCTTCTCTTCAGATTTTAGGATAATCCTGTTGGGGTTTAGCCAAGGGTTTTTTGAAACAGGGAATAATGCCCTAGCAGCTAATATGTGTCTGAGCAAACGTAAAACTGATTTGCCTTTATTTTTCTACGTAAAATATTTGTATAAATATATATTTTTTTTTTTGGTGGAAATATTCTAATATTTTCTCTAGTTCCCCAAGCTTTATTTGACTTGATAACCTGTTTCTCGTGCATTAATAAGAAACTTCACATGGGAAGGGAGAGCAGTGTGAGGCATAATGGTTGGCTAAGATATAATATTTAACGTCTTAGTTCTTGATTCAGATTCAGTCCAAGTGGATCAGGACTGATGTTCATTACAGTTTGATGGCGATACAGTATTCTTTAAAAATGATAATCAGTTTTCCACCTTCTCAAAAAGCTGCTCATGTTTTTTAGAAGCTTTTATAGAGGACGCCTTGAGTGAATGTTCCCCAAGCAGGGACAAGCCCTCGTTCCCAGCGCGTCGAGGTCCGGGGCCGCGTGGATAGCGGTTTTTCCTGGGTCCCCCCTCCCGGACCCTGCGGAGCCCCTGTCGCAGGGCGTTTGGGGCGGCTTACGCTGCAGCTGCCAGCACTGTGATAGCTCTGAGGTTATATAGCTTTTCCTTCGTGGCTCTCAAAACAATTGGCTCATCGAAGAAGAAGAGAGAAGGAAAAATAAAGAACATATTTGACTTCAGCGTGACTCCTCAGGAAAAAAAAAAAAAGGCGCTAGTAAGATTTGAAACACTAGAGGAGTTCTTTTAAAAAAGCAGCTCTTCCGTGCTAGCGTTTTTTATTTAACCATCTTTTCTGTTGTTAAGTTTTATTGATCTTTTAGACTTGATTGGAAGTGACAGGAATTAGTTTTTATTGATCTGCTTTCCTTGACTTGAAACAGCTTTATTTATGTTAAAGCATGGCCCCCATACTTATTTGTTTAATGGTAGGTCTCCTCTTGTCTCTGCTCTCGCGAATGACTGCTGAGCTAGACAATTGCATTATTTTTTAAAAGATTTTTTTCTTTAAAGGTAAACTGGAAATGCACTAAGTCACTAAAATGCTTTTCGTGTTCCCAGGGAACTGCGGTATCATGCTTTCCAACTGCTGTGAAAGGTCTTGTTTCTCACTGTATTCATTAATATGATTATCAGAAATATATTCTAGTAGGCAAGCTGTTAAGGTTGTCAGCCCATTTAAATGGTCTCCTTCTCAAGCATGCCAGCCCCAAAACCTGAACAGCCCAAAAGGTAGTGCAAAATGATACTTCTAGGCATTTTAAATTCTGCTTGTTCTTTTCTCCAGAATGGTCAACTCATGACGGATCTGTATCCTGGTGATCAAGACTACAGATTATGTTCGATTAAAAGTGATTGTATTTCTTAAAAGGTTATAATCTCACACTCACTTAATTTTGTCCTTCGAAGACATTCTAAATCATTAATTTACAAATGTGTGTTTGTTTGCATATGATATGGCAACACAGACAGTCACCACCGGACTCAGCTGGAACCGGTAACCTGCAGTGATCCTACTTAGGCTGTAGAAAAGAGGCAGGCAGGCTTGTGTGTGTTTGCTCTGGTTTATGTCTTATGTCGAAGCACCACTTGTAACTTCAGGGCGGTTGTGTGTGTTGCAGGCGGCTTCACTCCAATTTCCTGCACTGCGACTGCCACCTGGCCTGGCTCTCCGACTGGCTGCGGCAGAGGCGCACCATCGGCCAGTTCACCTTCTGCCTGGCACCTGTAAGCCTCCGGGGTTTCCTTGTGGCCGAGGTTCAGAAAAAGGACTTTATCTGCTCTGGTAATGATACCAATTCTTCATTTGCCTATTGTCTGACACTTTTATATTGAAATGCACATGCAAACAGTGAATGGAAGACTATTGTATTAGTTGTATTTGAATGCCGTTCTGTTGCAGGGCGGTTTTGGTTGCGTTGTTGCTCAACTGTGCGATAGCATATCAAATTGTTAATTTTTTTTCCAGCTTTATATGCATTGCTGTATTTTGGTCAGTGATTCTGTTCTGACATGATTTTTTCTGCTGTAGTATTGGCAAGAGTATCAACATAAAGAAATCAGTGAAGTGGGGCTAATTTGGTATTTCTCAAGGGAAGAGCTCTACAGCTGACTGAAGTACAAAGGAAAGGAAGAAGCAAACGCTAATCTGAATCTGTTGATAAAAGACTGGATTATGGACCCAGAGGTACAGATCCTATCCCTAGGATAGGATCTAAGGGTCCTTAGCGAGCCACGGCATTTCATTCCTCTCTAACTTTCCTCATTTGTGAAAGATGCTGATGACACCAAGCCAACCCACGAACCATGTAGCTGTACATTGGGCCTGTTCATCAAGTCGCTTGAACAGCACTTGGCTCTTTTGTGATAGAAATGCATTGTCTTTTGAAAAAGAAAAAAGAAATTATAATTGGAAGAAGAAATCTCTGAATTTGGCTGAAAGGAAGAGATTTGGAGAGCAAAGGCATGGCAATATATTGTAAAAAAGAAGGGAAGATACCAGGCACAAGTTTTTGCGGTTGTATATATTGAATATTGCGTACAGTTACAGGGCAAAAAGAGAAGTAAAAGGCAAAAGAGGGAGAAAAAAAGTAAAAAGGGAAGGGAGCTTGTTATGAAGATGGCATGAGTCCTAATCTTGATAGCTTGCAAGTCTTTGGATACTGTGTTGTTTCATGGCTCTAGGCCTGTAAGAAGTTAGGCGGATGGACCGGTACACAGAAACGTTACAGCCACCCTTTGTATGTCATCCATAACTCTGGATGGTGTCCGCAGTTAGGCTAGCCAAGGACTTTGAGCTTAAAAAATGAGCCTAGTGCATGGAAGTAGCATGAAAGAGGGAAGAAAGAGGTACGGTTCTGGTCACTTCTCTCACAGAAGGCGGCAGTTGGGAACACAGACCTGGATCAGACAGGACCTGAGCATGCAGGTCTACCAGGTGAGCACCCAGCAGCCGTAATAGCACCAATACTGCGTCCGGGTCTGTAGATCCCTTTTAGTTTGTTCAATAAGTATTTTAGATTATTTCACAGCAGATTAGCCAAATGAAAAATAAATAAATAGATAGAAGTCACTTAGCATATCACATAATAAGCCTGAAAGTCCCTGGAGTCATCTTAGAGTCTGAGTCAAAGAAGCACAAATTTAGTTTGTGGGAGAGTTTTGTTGTACTGTAATGCACCATACCTGATGTTACAGTATAGCACCTACCAAAATAACTGATTTGACCTAGCTGTTTTTTAGGTATTTTTTGTAAACACATAACTCTTTCAAAAGGGAGTAAATACAAGAACTAAGTAACAGGATTCTCAAGAATTTGTTAATCTCCTGTGTGCTTGTTTTTGTTCACTTGTCTGTTGCCTTCCCTGTGTCCACTCTCTGGAGCTGTCTCCTTGGTACCGGGGTTAGCTGTTGGCAGTTCTCTAGGAGTGTTGGTGCTAGACGTGTTTAAGAATGCCTTTTTTCTGTGCTTTCAGACCATAGACAATGTGACCATAAACAATGGAGAAGTGGCTGTACCTAAAGGATGAGGGTTTGATCTCAAGCTTAACTGTACCATGGATGATAAATTAACTCCCAGTCCCGGAGGAGCGCGAGAAGTGTAGTAGGCACGTAGAAAACAAAAGTCCTGCAGCAGTGATTTTTGTGGCATGATTTTCAAGAGCACCTGCAACGTACATGCAGTTTGGGAGATTTGAGGATGCCCAGAATGTCTGAAAAATTACATTAAAATCTGAACCAAAAGAGAAGTTTAAGGATATAACAATCTTGGGGAGAGAAGGATAAAAATAAATGGAAACATGAATTAAGCTATTAGCAAAATCTCATTTTACCAAAGATGAAACTGCAGTATTTCTTTCTTATGAAATGAAAAGTTTCAGATGGGGCTCAGCTATTGGGATTTATGATAGAATGAAATGAAAGAAAAAAGGATTGTTTAAATCGGGAGGGGAAATATGAACTGTCAAATGAGAAATGTCAAGTGGACAGTACTGATCCAGATGGAGTTATCTGTATAGATCACGATTTCCAAAAGAGAAAACGTTGTTAAACAGTGCTTTCAGACCAAGAACATAAAGACAGACATGGTCTTCTTAAAATTTTTTTTCCCTCCCCTCTCCGAGAACTGTCAAGGTTGCGCTGCTTTTTATTAAAAAAATAAATTAATAAAAATTAATGGAAAGAAACTTCCAGTGAGAGACAATCCATCAACTGTATCCCTTATCTCACATTTGGAAAATTAAATAAATATACTGAAAAAGAAGTGCATTTGAAGAGCTCATTTTAGGGGAAGATTTAGCAGAGAAGCCCACTTCGTACCTGGTAGTTTCACAAAGGCCTACATAGGTAGGTACTTTAAAGAGGAGATAAACCTTCCCAGGTCCTTACTGCAATTTTTATTTCTGATTTTACAGCATAATTTGGTCGTGTTTGACTATGAAGTCAGACTAGGACAGGACGTGAGCAGTGAACTGAACTTGTCCCTCTGCAAAAGAATTTTACACCATTTAAGATTAAATGAACCACTGAAACTAGCCTCCAGCCGGCAGTGAAAGCCACCTTTGCATCATAGTTATGGAGTGCTGAAATACAACGTACTGAGCTACTCTGTTTCAGTACAGGCTTAGAGTTTCAAGCACTCCTGTTTTTATGGCAGTGGGAATATTATCACGGGAGAAGAAAACTCAGCTTTTCCTGCACAGTAAAAGGAATTTCATCAGAGCATTGCCATTCAAAGCTTGTGCTGTTGCAAGCTTCAACCAGGAAGAGGAGAATGAAATGCAGAGGATAATTTGGGAGAAGAAGAAAGGGATACTTGGAAAAAAAATGATTTCTGGTTGTTTTGAGCGGTATGCAAAAATGCATTTTTTAAAATTTTACAACAAATGTTACTTATGGAGTAAATTTTAAATCCTATCTATCTACTGAGGTATAACATAAATTGGAAGAGGTAAAACACTGACAGATGCATGCTATAACTGGAGCCCAGGTTGCTTAATTCCTTCTGGGGCACCACACCACTGGTCCTGTAGAGTAACTGTGTATAAGCATTAGGTGCAAAAGCCCTCGAGATCCTGTTGCTGAAATCAGAGTTATGTGCTGAAATACCTGTGTCAATTGAGAGTTCAGTCTTTCAAAAATATTGATCAACATGTGCACATAAGTGATAAAAGTGCTAATGCAAATGGTACTTCTAGGCAAATTGTAAGCAGTGGAAAAGCGACTCTAGATTTTACTGGTCCATGCCCTTGAGCATCTGGCTCAAGGCTGAGGGTAAAGGTATTAAATAGTGTGCAGTTGCCTGGAGAAAGGTTTGCAAATATGTTTGATCGGCTTTGTTTTGCTGAGTGGGCAGGGAAAAGTCATTAGTGGGGATGGCAGAGGACTGGAGACAGGTGGCCCCTCACCGCTGGGCTGTGCTGAGGTCCTGGTAGCCCTCCCGTCACTACCCCAAGCCTTCTGGCTGGCTTTTGAAGCAAGCTGCCTCCTCCTGGCAGGAGGGTCTCTCCTCTAGAGCCACCCCTGACGGAGCAGCCTTCTTGGAGCTCTGCCTTAAAGCCATCTGTTCCCCAAGAAACCTCCAGGCATGCTCCTTCCTCTGCACAGCTGAACTCAGGGAAGTGCTTCACGATACACTTCTCATTTAGGACAGTCTGCTGGAGAAGGGGTAGTGTGTGACAGCTGTAGGGTGCGTGCCCCAGTGGATAAGCTCCAAGTAAACTCCTTTCTCTCTCCACCATAACCTCGCCATTCACTGCCCCAGTGCAGTCACAAGAGGAACAGTACACAAAGCAGAGATGTAGTGTCAGCTGAAATACTGCCTTCGCTGTGGTGCCTGGGAACTGTTTATTTTTATATTCCTTGAGCTTGCAGAGAAGCATCTGGAGGTGCTGCTGACTGGTGCTTGGTAGCAGCTAGAGCCCTCCAGTCTTTGCCCGGATCAAAACCAGCTTCCTTGCCATGTTCAGATGTTTCACTGCTGAATTGGGTTTTCTCTTTCTCTCCTCTTTCTGTCTGTCCCTCCCTGTCTTTCCTTCTGTCTTTCTCCCCTCAGGATAGTCATTCTATTTCATTTTCTTCTCTTATGTAAGTTTTACTGTGGCTCTTGGATTTTTCTTCTACCTGCTCTTTACTCGTTGGAGCTGAGGTTGGTGTACATGCTGATCAGTTATGTCAAGTCACGAAGCCTTGTCACCTGCATTTGCGGATGGAGGCAGTGGGTTTATGAGGTTGCACAGTCAGCAGGCCAGGGCCTTCCTCTTTTCAGTAAAAATAAATATGCATCTGAACTGAATGTCTAAAAATAAAGCAGTCGTATCTCATACTGGAGATGAGTGGCATGTTCCAACCACTGCTGTCCTCAGCTAGATGCTGTCAGAACAGCTCGCTCGAATGTCGTCATTTCTCAGCGGCTGCTTGCGCAAGAGACCTTCTAGTAGGTGGGCAGATAGAGGCCTTTGGTGGATTTCAGTGGATATGGGAATGAAACTGATTTTTCTACCATACTGTTGCTGCCAGGACTCAGGCAGTGTGCTGAGGCTTGGTGCTGACCCTGAAGGTCCAGCCCGAGATAGGCTTGTGACAGTTCTTGCCAATGCCTTGAGAAGTTTTACAGTGGGCGTCATTTGAAATGGACTATGAGGATTGGATGAGATTTCTTAGAACAGACCAGGGATGTGTATTTCCAGCAGTTAATGAATATATGCTTTTCTCACCTAAGAAGCCACAAATTCTCATCAGTTTGTAAAATCTTGAAATTAATTTGGAGCTGATTAATTCCGTATA